CCCGCCGATAGGAGAAGGAAGGAAAAAAGGAAGGAATGAGAGCCACAGCAACACACTGCGGTTCCGTGTAGAAGTTAAACGGTGCCTGGACACCGGGGGCTTTAGGTAATTGAAACGAATATGCCATTTTTTTAAATATGCGGCCACAAATGTGAATGGATTCGTGGGGATCCCACAGGGGCTTTGCACGACAATTTCTTTTTCTTATGTTTTGTGAAAACGTTTTTAGGTAGTATTTTTGTTTTTGTTTTTTGTTAAATCATGTCTGTTTTGTGTTGCCACTGCTCGGGCTGCGGTGCCTCTTCAAGTCGTAGTTGTCTACTTTTTCTTATCTTTGCGTCCTGCATTTCTTCTGTGTGTGTGCGTCCTCACACGCTTTACTCTTCTTCCTTCTTTTTTATTTTTGTATCTCCAGGCACACGCACACACGATATATATATATATATATATATAGCAGTGCACGTGGAGGATACTTTCGTAGTTGGTGCTGGCAGTGCCGCCTGTAGGTGCTGCTGTTACCTCCTTCCGTGGGTATGAAGGGAATAGAGAGACTAAGGGGGAGGAGGTGCGTTATGGGTCATTCTTCCTTTTCTTACAGATGCAGGCCACTGCGTGTGAGAGTGCTGCTCTGTGTAGCGTAGCGTCGTGTCCCGCGCACGATGTGTCAGTGCGGTGCGGTGTGGGTGTCGTGCCATGTGATGGTTGCAGACTCAGTTCCCGTGTGTATGCGTGTGTGGCCGGTGGGGTGGGTGTGGGTTGCTGCTCCGCTCCGTTGTGGGTGGCTGCCTGTATTATGTGTGGAGGGTCGGGTTCTCTTCATTTGTAGGGTGACGGCGCTGCGATGGCTGTCGCAGAGGCGCTCGCGTGGATCGTATTTGTTTTGCGCAGCATCCGTGGTGTATTGGATGGGCTCGTTGGGCCAGCGAAAGGTACTGGCGAAGCTGCAGAAAGCCGTGGGATGGATTGTGGCAGCAGGGGGGAGGCTGTGGCCTGCTGTTGGAGCGTGTTGCTTGGGGTTGGGGCTCTCTAGCCCCTGCGGAGAGGCGCAGCGAAGGCGACAGAGATGTTGCGTTTTTCCGGGCAGCCGTTAGTCCCTTGAGAAACATTCTTTACGCTGCGCTGCGCCGCCCTTGCACGCCACCGACTCTTGCGGCTTCGTGACTGCCGTACGTGAGGCGGTGCGGCTGTTTGCCTTGCTGTGCGCAGCGTGTGCGTGAGTCGCGGAGGGGCCTTGAGCATGAGTCTCAGGAGGGGGGCGTGAAACCGCTCTTTTGTTCCCATTGCGAGGCGCTGGCACGCTGCGCTGTTTGTCTGTTTTTCTCTTGCGACGCTTCGTTTTTTTTTTTTTTGAGTTCCTGCACCCGCTGCGGGGTCGCCTGTGCGGCGGAGCGCCTTTCACGTCTTTGGTGCGCTGTGTTGTCTTTTTGCCCCCCCTTTTTTTTGTCGGATGTCGCTCCCAAGCAAACTCTAAAACAGTGCACAGCAAACTACACGATAGTTCCCCATCGATGGCGTTTTGGCGAAACCAGACGAGGACGGTGGAGCGTCGCAGAGCCGCCGGTCTTCCCGTCGTGAACGAGATGCAGCGCTTCCGCTTGCTTGTGTGCTGCTTGTTTTGCAGCATCTGTACGTCCCTTATTTACGCCTTTGACCTGTTCACGACGCAGTTTGTGGAGCGGTTTAACCTCAGCGTCGGCGACCAGGCCACGATTAGCACGGTGGGGCTGGTGTTCTGCTACTTCACGCTGCCGTACGGCTTCCTGTACGACTACGCTGGTCCCTTTCCTCTGATACTTATCTGCTTTGTCACCGGCGGGATGGGGTCACTTCTGCTCGGCCTGGCGTTCGACGGATTTATCCCGGGAACTGTAACGAACTTCTCTATTTTCTACGCCTTGATGAACACTTGCGCTGGTCTCATTGACGTGGTATACATTGTGACTCTGGCAGAGACCTTTCCGCGCAACCTTGGGCCCGTCGTTGCTCTTGCGAAGGTACTGACCGGGCTTGGCTCCTCCGTGCTGGCCTCCATTAGCGTGAACCTCTTCGGCGACAACATCTCCGGTTTC